TTATTTTCTTAATATTTTTTAACTGACTCATATTAACTTAAACATTTGACAGGAAAACTTTATATCACTACAGTAAAACCTTTGTCACTACTGAAAAATCTTATCCCTTCCTCTGAATAGAAGCTAAGCTATAATTACGTAAATGTAAATTCCGTGAAAATAAAACACTATTATTAGATTCTAGCTAGCATTGATGCTCAAGGTGCGCTTGAGTGTTGTGAAATAGGATAATAAGCATATCCTATGAAGACCATTTAAGATATATAGAACCAAACAGATTTTCTACTTCTTGTGATGGGAAAAATTAAAGAAGAACAAACTTAAAATCACGTGTACCACCAGTTGTTCACACCTGGTCTTTGAGAAGCAGTGCTGGTTTAGAGGGCTGCCTGGGGCAACTGAAGAAAGGGAAAATGTTGAATAGTGTTGGCTTGAAAGGGATCTCGGAATAGTACCGAGTTTTCTTCCTATGAGAATTTTGTATTATTGAAATATATTTGCAAGTTAAATCTATATCATATTACTTGTTCTCTCCTTTAATGCTTTCCCATTTGGGTTTATAAGGATTATGCTTCTTCAATTTAATCAATTATTTTTTCCTCTTTAATATCCAGGTATCTTTTTAATTAAATATTTTTGGAGATGTAAAGATATTTTGTGAAGAGGATTAACTGATAATAATTCTGTAGGTAAAAAATGTTTGAGCTAAATAAAAACACTAGAATTTGGATTCAGGGCATATCTTTACTGTGCAAAAATGGTGGTTCAGAGATTATAACTAACTGCTTTAGATTCACTTTACCTTAACTTCTTATTGTACTAGAACCAAAAGAAATAATAGTTTTAAGTAAGGCTTTAAATTTAGTTGTTCACCTACCACTTATACCAAGTATTCTTGGTCAGCTGCAGAAAGCAGTTAAAAAATCTTGTACTTTGCTTTTAATGATAAAAGAAAGGACTCTAGTGACATCTTGTGGCTTGTCCAGCATAAAACCCAAATACCTTTTTCCTTGACAAGATCAGTATTTCTCAATCTTCTTAAAACCTTTTCTCATAAAATACATAAGAGTTACCCTTGCCGTATTGTGATAAAATGCAAGGTCACTTAATGTGAGCTCAGTGAACATTGTTTTTCACTTAGTTTGCATTGTCACAAAAGAACAAAAGTGAAGATAGTGAAACTTACACATTGTACAAATGACCTCACACCGAACTAAAAAAGTCCCATCCTTAGACAGTCACTTCCTGACCCCACACTTCCTCCTCACCCTCATACCTCCCCACACCCCAGATTAGAACTTTAGCAAGGGGGGCTGGGTAGGGAGCCACATGTTATCTCCAAATCTTTACCTTCGGCTGAGTGAGTGGAGGGGTTTTATGGTACTCGAATACACAGATTCTGGCACCCCTCTAGGATTTGGGGGAGGAGTGGGGGGGCAGCAGGAGGGCAGGAGTGGATCACTGATTTCTAGAAGATAGATTACCTACAAGTTACTCAATATTTGTTCAGTGAATAGTTTTTTCTGTGAATCTTCATTAACCCTAATTTTATTAAGCCTTAAGTTCTATCATTTATATTCTGAAGACAATAAAATTTTAATTGTTCTAAGTATTTGCATTTTCTAAAACTGAAAGTGCTTTTTTCCAAACTAAGCCAGTAGTTTCCATTTGCATTCTCTTCAATCTGCCCTGTCCTGTATTCTTAGATTCTGCAGGGTGTGTCACCTCTGCTTCTAACAAGTGGCCTCTATTTTAATGGTCAGTGGCATTCAGGCCTATTACTATCATATCATTCAGGGCAGAATAGGCCTAGAAAGGAATATAATTCTTCTCTTACCTGATGAAACTTTTTAAAAGTTTATAGGTATTAGCTCATAATACAGAATTTTTAAACTGTGTTTTCCATAAACCAGGAAAGAAGGATGTCATACATGTGTGTCCTTTGTTCCCCTTTCCTCTGTAGCTTTCTTTTCTCGTCCCTTTTATATATGTTACCAAGCCTTATGTCTTATGATATAAGTGATACCAAGCCTTATCACTCAATATGGTAAGCACTACTAATAGTAAGCCTACATTTCTAACATCAAACCTGTATTTATTAGGTTACTGTCATGCAGCATATGATTTTCTCTGCAGAGCTCACCTCACTTCATCTGCAAATACTCTTGAATGACTTAAATGAGTAAATTCTTCAAAAAGTAACATGCGAAGCCTTTAATAAC